GTCGTGTTTTACCCTGAGAATAGCACATGCCATGCCATTCTGGAAACAAATTCCGTCATGAAAAGGGTAAACGCAGACCTATGGCTTTGCTATACAGTTTGCTACCGCTCCGCAAGTTTCTAAAATCGAGGTGTTTTCAAAAGATTTGCTGTGAGACTGAGTGTTGTGAATGAACCTTTGATATCGTGTGTACATTTTGCCAATGCATAAGGCATAGTGAAAGCAAGATGGTTCAAGGTTGAAATACGACCATGCACATTAATATTCATATGGTATGAATATTATTCATACTGGTATTTTCTTTGGGTGTTCGTAAAAGTAAAATGTAAATATTCAACTACACGAAGAATGTTGAAATACAATAGAATATCAGTCACTTAGACTTAGTATTCATAATGTTTCTGTTATACATGTTACATTGACATACACTATACATGATCATCATGTATTACATGCGCTTTCAGAAACTTTTAGTTTGTTTTCAAATGTCTAAAGTCTTATTACTAAATTTACCGGTATTTTCAAAGTCAAAGGCCGGCACAACTTGTTGAAACACTTATATATATATATATAAATAAATATATAAAGTGTATTTAATATAATATTTAAACATATATTTAAATTGTTTAAATTGCTACAAAATATTGTAAAACTAAAACGGGAGGATAAAAACTCGATCCCCTACTGAGAATTGATCTCAAACTATATTATCGCCAAGCGTCCACTCTACCACTTGACCAAGTATATCTTAAAACCAGGCCAGTGGTAAATTTTTGCCGCGGTTTACGCAGGCCAAAGCCGATGGTTTCGCTAGGTACACCGCCGCGGTGTACGCATCCACTTCGAATTTAAAAATCTTGGATTTCTTAATTTATATGTTTGTCCGGAACAATTTATATTTATTAAAGACAGATGTGTTGACTGTGGTGGATATACCCGGATACCATTACTTATAATTTGGACTCGGGGTAAGGCATATGATGATAAAATCAAACATAATTAGTAATCAAGGTGGGCTATCTGTCTCTAACTCTAAGTGAATTAGTAGTAAGTCTAGGTACTAAATAAAAGTATTAAAAGTAAACTAAAATTAAAAGTTGACTAACACTTTAAAACTTTACTAACTGAAGAGTAACTGACTGACACTCTTACTCAACTTACTCTCTTACTCTTACTCTTCCGAGTCTTCCACTTTTTACTAAGACTAGATCTAAGTAAGAGTAATGCCTTAGCATGGGCGCCCGCAGGTAGGGCAAGGGGGGCACTTGCCTCCCCCCCCCCCCGGGATTGATTGGATAAAAAAATGTTGGTAAATTCAGAGAAAGCGACCCGAGTCTATTTCCATGTGTGACTTTAAGTGGCCAGACGATGGCCCATCCATTTCTACTCTTCCGAGTCTTCCACTTTTTACTAAGACTAGATCTAAGTAAGAGTAATGCCTTAGCATGGGCGCCCGCAGGTAGGGCAAGGGGGGCACTTGCCTCCCCCCCCCCCCTGGATTGATTGGATAAAAAAATGTTGGTAAATTCAGAGAAAGCGACCCGAGTCTATTTCCATGTGTGACTGTAAGTGGCCAGACAATGGCCCATCCATTTCCATGACTGAGACTATAGAGTTTTATAGACTATACCAGGGGGTCACCAAACTATCCGGCCTGCCAACGGTACTTGAATTTGCTTAATAAAACATGTGGAACACGAGCCTTGTGATACAATTTAAATATTATGTTTAGAATACTAGGAGATCTTCACATGTGCGGAGACCTCCTGGCTGCTATGCGCCTTAAATTAATTATTTACCATTTTAAATTATTGTAGTATCTAGATTTTCTTGTTTATTGCAGACCTTTTTACCCTCGACCTCCAAAAACCATACAATATCATATCAAAATTGTACAATACAATATCATAATAGTAAATAAATAATTATACAGTGTATATGAATTATAATGAATACAATAATTACCCACATCGCAGTCCCTAGTGGAATCGAGTTAAGCTGGCGTAAAAAAAGTTAACTTCTAAAAGTAGATGACCTAATTTTATAATGCAATCTGTGGTCACTTTGTTTTGCAGAAGTGTATCTGGTAATTTAAGTTGAGTGGACGTACAGATCGCATTATCACAGTCTGTCACTGGTAAAAATAAAGTTACTGGTTCAAACTCAAAGTCGGATCAGCATAAAACAAGATGCATTTAAATAAGAATTAATGACATCATCATTTTTAAAACCTACCAAGTAACGAGATTTATTTTTTTTGGAAAACCTGGTTTAAACAAACAAAAAATTAACATCTATTAAGCCTATTCTCACTGATATATTATAGTCTGATAACTACCATAAACTGTAAATGGGTGAAAGGAAGTGTTTGAAACATGCGAATGAAATAATTATGTCACAAAATTACGCCATACAGCAAAGAAGAAACAAAAGCTAGGATTGACTAAAATTGTCACTAAGGTTACTAAGCTAATATTAAATTTGTGGTGTCTAGTGCGTTAATTATGAAAACACACAAAGCAACAATATTACCATCATCACTATCATTACAATATTACAAAAATGTTGTGGTTTTAATTTTATAGACTTAAAAATTTAGACGCCCTCCCCGGCAAACCTGTACCTTACACAAAATCTCCCAAATCAACACAACCGCACCCCCTCTTAGGGCAAACGTAATATGTGGTGCAACTTATTTCTGTGAATACACATTTTCTAAAATGGAGTATGTGAATTCAACACATCGCATGAGATTGACTGATGAAAATTTGAAAGCTATTCTCTTGATTGGATGCAGCATTTTCCAAACAAAACATTGAAGATATCTTGAAAGCCAAACGTCAGTTTCACAACTCTCAATAACCTTTTTTGCTGCTTAGTTTGTGAGATTCGGATATGTGCACACTAAATCTGATGTAACTATCTTATTGCTTACGTCGCCTTCTTTGACAACTTTTTTAGTTAATAAATCTGTTGGTTGTATTTTTTTTGTACATTGCACGCCACTCATTCACGATTAACATGGAATACTTAACTTAGTTTTTTTCTCTTTTTTACCAGAGCTTTCGTTCTGGCTTGCAAATATTGTATAAAATCAATATATGGCCTGCGCTCGTCAATTTGTCTGCTATCCGGCCCGTGGGGAAAAAAGTTTGGTGACCCTGGACTATACTATATATTAGGGCTATTGATTATCACATTAGCTGATTAATTAGTTCAGATAAGTCTACTTCACTTTGACAGACTATGACTAAGTTATAACCTACTTTAAAAAAAGCTAATTATTACTAACAACTAATAAGTTAAATAATTAAAAGTAGAAAGACCACAGGACTTGAGACAGACTATGCTGACTATACCACTACTATCCCTGCATAACATAAGGGCCGATTGCGGCCGGCCAGCACCCACTTTGCGGCCTGGGAAGTAACGAAATATTCTTTATTCTTCTTATTTTCTTAATAGCTTTCCCCCCTGTCCTATTTTCTGTTGGCCCGCACAAGTCCTGTCCTATTTTCTTTTTGCTCGCACAAGTTTTTCGTGAAGTATTACGGTCTGCCTTACATTTTGAGTTGTACAGGCCTGCTCTGTCTAAGTACTAGTATATTGACTACTAAGTGACTTATTGACAACTGCCCTTTAAAATTAATTATATTAAACCCTTTTTAAAAATTGTTTTTTTTTTTAAGGCCTATTATTGATATTGAATTAAATTTAAATCAGAAGTTATGAAACCTCTACTATAGTCTATAGTTAAAATTTTAAGTATTCTGAGTAAATTAGGCTACTAATAAATTAAGTTGATTAGCTCTACAACTACTAGTACTTAACTGAGGCCTAGAGTTAGTATGTATAGTAAGTAATCAATTATTATATTTATATGGTATTAAGGGTGAGAGACTGCAGTCATGTTAGATAAATGAAAATGAGCAAAACAAAGTATGGGAAACCCTGAAAAAAAAAAAAATGCAACAAAACAATGAACGTGTCGGAAAGAAGTTTTCATCAGCAAACAGTACAAAGCATAAGGAAAATAAAAACCTTGCTGAAATTTTGTATCCAAGAGGACAACAAGGGAAAAGTATGTTCTTTGTTATGTTGCATCCCTTCTCAGGTTTTCCCTAACCTTATTTTACATATTTCCTTCTACCTAGCATGATTGCATCCTTATTATCATTTTTAACATTAACTTGTTTCCTTTTACTTTTGTATGCAAAAAGAATTTCTTTAACTTTAACAATTACAAAGTATTAAACTTGTATATGCCCGAAATATCAGTTGATGTTATTAATATAGTTTTTTTTAAATAATGTTGCTTTTTTGTATTTATACAAGTTTTTATATTTATGTGAAGATAAAAATTCATAATTATTTTTTGAATAAAATTAATATACATTTTAAATTAAAGCTTTTTTTACTTTTCTTCCACATTTTCAGATTGATAGAATTTGGAAAGAATGGCCTCTGGTGAAAGAAAGTTTCATCCTGTCAAAAGCTCTGAACAATTGGCTGATTATATCATCCAGTAAGCGGTAGAAAATACTTAGCATGCAATAATATTATCAAGTTATTTCTAAAATAAATGATTTATTTGTTTAAAAATTGTCTTTGTATTTTTTACATTTTTTAAATTTAATATGCATCTATTTATTATTCTAGATCACAGATGGGTCGCAATATATTTTATTATAAAGGAAAAATATTAAAAAGACCTTAATTTTTTTTGTTAATAGGGATACTTGCTTTGTGTATTGTATTTAAGTTTTTTAAATTTTAGTCTGAGGACATTTTATTTAATTGGACCAGATACAAAGTTAGATCAGATCCATCCAATCTAATATAATGATAATAATTTTCTTTGATTCTCATTGAAACAAGTCTAATTTTTTTTTTTTAAATTTAATGTAATACTAGTTAGGTGTCTGGTAGAATTTAAGTTTGTTAGTTTTAGTGTTTATTTGAGATAAAAAGGTTGATAACTGCGGCCCTGAGTGGTACAATAATTTTTTATTTTTCTAAAAGAGAAGGTCTCATCAAGCTACGAAATCCTCACATAAATGAGAAAGATGAAGATGTTTTATATCACATAGCACTTAGCAACAAATCGCATGATTTAAAGGAAATGTTTCAGGACATTAAAGTAAGCTTTATGATGTGAATTATCATGATACAAAATGTATAGGCAGTCACCAAATTTTTTGTTGGCTTTCAATTAAAAAATTTGGGCAAATTTATTTTTATCTTTTTTTTTTCTTTCATTTTCCAACAAGACAATTTTACTACTGACATGTAAATTATACCTTTCTTTCTTGAGTAATCTTTGCCTTAATTCTAAATAACATATGTTCATTTTAAAATAAAAATTGTTATTTTATGTATGGGCTATTAATGAGTCATATTTTTGTTTTCAGTTTGTTTGTTTTGGTGGGTCACCTACCAGGATGCAAAAGTTTGCTGAGTACTTAGTAACTGAGTTGAAGGTGAAGATCCCCGCAGGACAGACCTTGTCCAACATTGCACAGGGTTCTGACAGATATGTACTTTACAAAGTTGGACCCGTGTTGTCAGTCAGTGTAAGTCAAAGAGGGAATAATTGGTACACAATCAATAATTTAAACAGACACTTATATTTTTTTTTGCATGATTTGAAATCTGCTCATTAACAAGAATAATTAAATGTGAATTAAATTGTTTTCGTTAAATAAAGAAAAAATTATTTTTCAGTAAAAATTGAAAAACTTAATTATTTGTGTAAGAAAACGAATACATAAACTGTTCAATTATGACAGTTTTTTTTCTTTCTGAAATTCTCTTTAAATTGAAGACTATTTTAATGATTTTAAGATTACTATATTACATTGGAAGTAATTTCAGTTACCGTACCATATTTTTCCTTAATGAGCTGATAATTATGATCTTCCTGCAGTACAGATTTATGCCACTGCTTTCATAAGGATAATTCTGACCAATAAGTGTTCTCCATAGGTTCAAGAATGAATTACTAATCATGAAACACTATCAGCGGTTTACTTTACCTCTGCAGCATGGGATGGGCATTCCATCTCTCTCTATAATCTTCCATGAAATAGTGAAACTCATTTACCATGCAGGATGTAGTGATGTCATTTTCTTTCGTATTGGGACGAGTGGAGGTTTGGGTAAGTGCCAAACGCAGTTTATACCAGGAATACTTACGTAAGAACAAAAAAATTTGATTTTTAAAATAAAAATTTTTTAACATAATTTTTAAAAAATACATATTTTTATCTCCATCTGGCATAGATGGAGATAAAAATATGTATTTTAAAAAAAAATATTTTTAACAATTTTTCATTTTAAAAATCAAAAATGTTCCTTAATTTTATTTTATGTAATCACAATATTTTAAATTAATGGCCATCCATACATGATGTTACACTATTTTGGCAGATCTTGGATCCCCCCCCCCCAACAAATCATCACAAATGTGTCATACAATATAGATAAAATCATAATACATCATAACATTTTCATGACACCCTCCCCCCTCCAGATATGTGACATCATTTATGAATGTCCCGGGCCCTACAATGAAAGAAAGAGGTAGACCTCTTACCATTTTTTGGTGGTCAAAAAGCTAAATGCTTAAAAACACTTTAATTAGAATTTTTGGCTCCCTTAATAAGAAGTTTGGGCTCCCTTTTTCTCATTACTTTTTAAGTTAAGGATTGGTCATAAATGAAGTTAAACTAATTATATTTATTTATGAGACTAAACTTAATGGGTCTTTTAATTAAAAGTTTTAAACGGTTACAAAATATAATTCAATTTTTGGCTTAGTATTGTGTAATTTCTTTGGACATTAACTTGCAGTCCTTTTTTTCTCTACCTGTGGTTGTGCTACCCATTCCTCTAATGAATGCCACATATGTTAAAATGAATGTTTGACAGGTTTAGAGCCTGGTAGTGTTGTCATTACAGATAAGGCAGTGGATGGACTTCTAAGACCTTATATGGAGCTGGTAAGATTTCATCTCCATTTTTTTGTTTATCCTAGTTTGCAGTATGAATTTATGGGGGTATATCCAAATCTGTATATGCAGATTAGTTTGTCCTTGGATGACACCCATATTTTTCAATGCTGGTTGGTTTCAAAATTATTTGTTTGTTTTTTTTCTAAACTCAATTCCAGTAAGTTGAGCAGGGCCTATCAAAACAGACCCAATAATAAAATTTTATTTTAAAAAAGTAAACTTTCAATCTAAATGATTTATTTCCTTTCTATTCATGGTATCATTGTGTTCCATATTTACCTAGCCCACCTATGGCAGCAATCAGTAATAACAAATAGGAACCAATCTCCTCGATCTTTTCTCCCCGAAAATAAAAAGTATTTTTCTGAGTGGTCTAGAGGAAGTATTGAATATTTTGGATACCATACTAAATATGTAGATGTGTACTTTACAACAGTCAACCCTTGGAATGGTGCTCCAACACCCATCAAATCTAGACCAAGAAGTCACAGAAGAGTTGCTGGCTCTAGCGGATCCTGAGAAGGATGGCTACAGCACCAGTGTTGGGAAAACAATGTGCACCCTAGATTTTTATGAAGGTGAACTTTGAATCCTGTATAGATTATGTCTCTGATACTCAGGTGTTGAGCTAATAGAGGGTCAGAGTATAGTAATTGGGAAATATCCAATCCTTGTTTTTTAAGACCAACTGGCCATTGGCAGGATTGTGCAATGTTTTTTAATCATTAAGTGATATTTTGTTTGTTTAGTTCTGATGATTCCAATTTTTTTTTTTAAAAAGTAGATTTAAGAAAATTATTCATTTTATAAGTTTATATTTTTTTGTTTACTTATAATTTTAGATACTGTTTCTTAGAATTTATTCATTGGAATACACTACTTAAAAAAAAAATTAAAATAACAAAATGAATTCATAAAATTAAAATACACTATTAAAGAGCAACTTGTTAAGTTACTATCAAATATAATTGCATGTTTTTCAAAAGTCTGATAGGAAATGTCTCTTATTTTTAGGAACTTAAAATGGTAAATTTGTATAAATTTTATGGAATGATCATTATATTTTTTAATTTGAGAATGGTGTTCATACTCGCCATCAAATTTGTGTAAAACAAGCCCTGCAATACAAAAAATTATAATTTCTTTTCAAGGACAAGCCAGACTAGATGGTGCTTTCTGTGATTACAACGAATCGGACAAAATGTCTTTTCTAAGCCGAGTTTACAGCAGAGGGATTCGTAACATTGAGATGGAGTCTCTGTGCTTTGCAGCTTATTGTTACAGGGCAGGCTTGAGAGGTAGTCATCATTTTAGATATATAATCTTATTATGAAACTAATTTTTTGAAATTCTTCTTTGAAAATTCATGGGTTTGGCTGAAGTATGGTGATTTCAAATTTTTCGAGCCGGTAATAGTGTCAAGTATGGATATTCACTTGTAATTTTTGTGCACTAAATTTTGTTTTTTATTGTGCATGATTTGTCTTGTAAGTTAGTTTGGTTGAGTAAAAATATATACAGGGGACTGAGTTCAAGTAAGTTCGAGCCCTTTGTGAAGTAAATATATAGTGTAACAAGGTACCGTATGTTTAGGATTTACAAAAAAAAAAATGAGGAGACAATTAAACAAACATGCTTCTTGTACTGAACTTTGAACTACCGGTAACTTAATTTTATCAAGTTTGACAATCTAAAAATGTAATTGATACGCCTTGCAATATGTTGGTATTAGTTTAAAAAGACGATGTTAAATAATAAAGAGTCATTTCAATTTGACAGATTTTGGTTTTATTTTTAGGGGCGGTGGTCTGTGTGACCTTGTTGGATCGGCTTAAGGGTGACCAAATAACAACTCCACATGAAATAATGGAAGAGTGGCAGTCCAGACCTCAAAAACTGGTGTGTGCGTACATAAAACGCAAACTGGGGATTGAGTAGGATGCAATTATACACGAGTGACATGGATATTTAGACAATCATTAAATAAAACTTCCCGCTGCTTTATTTTTTAATATATATTTCTATGTATAAATATATAAATTTATTAAAACATAATATAAATGCATTGACTTTAAAAAGATACCCATTTATAAAATTCAAAATATCCCAGACTTGCTTAAAAAAGGTTTTGATGGTGATTTATTTTGCAAAAAAAAAAAAATCTTTTCATAACTTTTATAGTTTGTGCGATATCTCCTTAACAAGGATTGCTCATCAACATTAATGGTGCTTCAGCCCATTGAGGACTCTGGCCTGCTCTACCACATCCTTCCACTTCCATTCAGACCTATCAATGGCATTTTCAGTGTTGGTCGACAAGTGAGCAGTCTTCCCCTGGGTTTCTTTCTGTTAACCAAATTTTCTCCTTGAAACAGTTATTGGGCTGACTTATTCAATTTTACATTTTTCTTTTCATTTTTTAATAAAGTGACATCCACTTTTAGCTTTCTTTAATTTTAAAATTACAATTTTTTTAAATAGTTTTTCTGTGATGATGATTATATTAATCATGCGAGAGAGCATCTGTAGTATATAAACTTTTTAAATAGATGTTTTTATTCTCTCATAAAAGAAAATAAGTATTAATAATTTGATTGGACAGAAAACCTGCATTACAGATATATTCTAAGTGACATTTATTATTTATAACTGCCTACTATCCACTGCCGTTGATTATGCTTCTACTTAAAGAAACTCAGGCTTATCATACTGGTGATGTTATACAAAAACTATATTTTTAATACAACTGTTATTCCTTGAACTTGAAAGTATTTGTACCAACTGTAAATTATTTTTCAAACTGATTTAAGATTATCAGAAGTGTGTTGGACTGCGATAAAGCTTGCAAGTAGATTGAGGAAACAACCATTTTGTGTAAATAAAACAAAAGTTTCAGCTTTAATAATAAATAATAAGTCCTTTCTGTTCTTCTGGGCCTTTTTTTAATTAAAAAAATTTTTTGGGTAAGATACATGTTATATATATATATTATGTAGTATGTAAATTTAATTTATACTTATATATGTATTTTTATTAAAGCATTTGCCGAATGTTTACATTTGTTTTCTGTATGATCATTATTAAAGCTGAACCTATATTGTTTTATTTACATGAATTGTTTGTGTCTCATTAATCCAGATTATAAGAAGAAGCTTTTTTTTTCATCACTTTCAAAAAGCCATGTTTAAAATCATTGTTATTTAACTTAAGCAGTAACTGAAACTCATGAAATTCGAATGTTAGATATTTTTTTTTAAAAATTTAATTTGCTTTACAGATGTTGTGTAGCTTGTTATTGTGGATTTATATAGCGATGCCCACACAAATTAAAAAAAACAACACTAATGTATTTGTACAGATATAATCTTTTCAGACCAGTGTTTATTATTGCTATGCTAGTCCAGCGTTTTGCTATATGAGATTAGTTCAAATCATTTATCCACAGCCATTTTATATTATGCTTCTATCTACAGAAACTCAAGTTTATCACATTGGTGATGTTATACAAAAATAAGTTTATTTTTTATTAATTGGTAATTCCTGTTAATGCATCAGTACTAACTGGACATTATTTTTCTTAATGGATTAAGATTATCAGGAGAAGATGTTTTACACTTTTTTGTTAATCCATGTTTAAAACTATTTAAAATTATTATTATTTAAGTTTGACTATACCAAAATAACTATTTCATATCAATCCAAGTATATTGAAAAATCTTTGTCTAGCAACAACAGAAACTCATAAAAGTAGTATATTATATATATCTTTTAACATTTTAATTTGCTTTACTGATATTGTTGGTGGTAGCTTGATATTGTGGATTTATATAGTGATGCTGACAAATGAAAAAGAAAACAAAAAAAAATTTGTTTAGTCAGGAGTGTTAGCGTTACTGTTAACAGTTCGGCTTTGCTAGTATTTAGCCGTTTGAGAAACTCAATTTTTAAAAAAAAACAGAAATCATTTATTGTATTTAATTTCGTGTTTACTGATAGTACTTGTTTTAATGTACATGCGAGGAGGCAATCAAATCATGATTACAGTATATACCATTAGGATTAAAATTCTCTTCCAAATACCCTTTGTATTGTTCTACCCCTTGTATTGTTCAATTGTTCTAATAGTGTTCAACTGAAGCATGGTTCAAAACCCATTCCATATTTTTAAACATTTACTTCATTTAAACAGCGGCATGCAAGACTTCTCAAGGAGAATAAAATAAAACCAAAGAAAGTAGCTGTGAGAGAATTTATTAAAAATCAGCATGGTCCAGAAGCAGCATCATACATTTTCATAAATTATTATTTATTGGGCTGATTAATTAAGAAATGTTTAAGGGAACTGCAAGTTGGGGTTTCACCATTTAATTTGAAGATGATTGACCAGTTTGCTGATTAATCTTTTGTAAATCAGAAAATGCTGTATAATTTTTGCTAATAGTACTAATTACTAATAGGTGTAAAAAGGCAAAATTACACTTAGATGAAGCTTCCAAATCCACTATTGCATCTTTTCAGAATAAAGAATAACTTGTATTGGATAATCCCATTCAACCAACGCTGCTAATAAAAATCAAATAGAATCTTTTCTTCAAATTGAGAAAACTTTGTGATGCTTAGCAGTGTCATTAATTCCTACACAAGTATGAATTATCAGAGAATCTCTCAGATAGCGAAAGGTGCGTGAGAGGTAAAGCAAAGTCAACACATTGCAGAACAAATGTTATCTGGCTTGTCCATCTTCTTCTTCCTCCTCCTCCTCCCCTAAAGTGAAGAGCACCCCCATCCCTCTTTGCTGTAATCCTAAGGTTTGATCTACAGACTCTGCATTTCCCAAGTCAGAGCTGCTTGTATGATGAGGTAACTCTAAGGAAGAGTTCGTGCAGAGGTCCGATTCCCGTTTACAATCCACAAGGGCCACTTGGCTATCTTCAATCTTGGGGGAGGCAGCTTTTTCATCCAGGGACACCTCACACTTTTCCTCTTTGATCTTGGGTATGACATCTTTGACCTCCAACTGCTGAGTCTCATCGTCAACAGGTAGGTGGTCTGTTTCCTATAAGTTGGAAATATGTGGGACAGTATAGTAATTTCACAACCCAGTTGCTTTGCTCTAAAGTCCAAAATAATTTCATTAAATATAACAGGCTTTAACAAACTATCATATAACCCCAGTACGATAGAAGGGTTTGCAGAAGAAACCTTGTGGGGGGCTTAGACAAATATCTCTTGCCAAATTATGATTACTCCAGAAAATTATGTGTACCCATTAGAAGAAAACACTGAAGTAAACCATTTTGATGCTTGGCTAAAAAAAATTATCCTTATAGCAATAAATATAATTTTATTAAGATTTACATGCGTATGATATATTCATATATTTCAACTTACCTGAGTAACAGGAACAGGTTGATGCAAGGAACAGTACTCTGAGTTGAAAATTGTAGGCACTGGACGACCACACTGGCTGTCAGCAAAAGGACATGGACGATAGAGCACTTGTGCTGGATCATGCAAGACATCTAGATTTTTATTGTTAAAGAATTTTCTCTTATAAAATGAGTTAATTCAAAATGCAATTTTAAAAAAAAATACAAATAAAGACAGCTTTTCTGGAAACAGTTACATCTATAGAGTGAATGAGGCATGAATGATAAAAAGAGTACTTAAAAATAAAAAAGTACTCTTTTACGTGGTACAAAACTTGGCAACAAAATTATTCACGGTGTTGGTTAAAATAATTGACTTACACCTATTTGACATACAGTGATTATGTTTAAGCTAGATTATTTAGTAACGAGATATGCTGGAGGTATACAGTAGTATTTTATTTTCAGTCAAATCATTTTACAGTACAAAGGATACGTCTTTGACAGAACTTGCTGAGGGGAACAACTCTGCTGTTACACCTTAATCCTTCATCCACAAAAACGCATTTTGCAAAATGCGGCACATGAAAGTTGCTCCCTTCTGTCACCTGCATGCGCCTCTCTGTCGACTGTTTCTGTAGAAGAGCTTCCTGAACAGATACAAGATTGTGTTAAGACATTTGCCTTTACATATAAAAGTTATCATGAATGTGTCGGAGCATGAGCGAAGTTTGTGCCATTTAAGCGATTTGAGTGCTTCTCCTATGTCCAATCTTTTGGACCTTTGGTAGGTTCCTGATATTATAAAGTAAATAACTGAAACTTTGTGCAGTTTTGTTATATAAAACAGTTCTTTCTCGATTCATTCAGGTGTTTTTTAAAGCCTTATTTATTGAAACAAATAGGAGTAGCTAAGAGCTAAAAATAGTATGAAAGGGAATTTACTTCCTAAGAATTAAATAAAAATTGCTAACATTATTTCAATCCATCAAAAATATGCCCCGGGCTTGCATCATGATTTTGTCTATTTGACACAACTGTCAGTAGAAGAATGGAAAGAAAGTTGGGAAAATAATAACAATAACCAAATGACCTTAGCCTTATGAGTGAAGCTCTAGTTAATGCAATTACATCCTTTCAAGTTATAGACAGCAACAAAAACCTGCAAATTGTATGAGATGAATGATGCATTTTCAAGTTAATGTTAAAATTAAAAACAAATTACTTTTACTGAAAAAATCTTTCGTTGAGGATGGATAACCAAAAAAATTGAACTTTTTTTCTTCCTAAAAATAAGTAATAAGGATCATAATCTAAAAAAATTTCAAGTGGCTTTTAAAATAATTGGTGTCATTTATACTTTTAACTTGAGATGTTGGATACCACAATTTAAAAGAGGTGCATCAGATGAACAAAAATATCACCTTTCCATATTTTTTGTGGTATCGTTTCATAGCACAAAGTTTGTTGTAGCGTTCTCTTTGGTGTGGGTCTTTCTTGTAAAGTTTTATGCTCCCTGAAAGAAATTATGCGTTGCAATGTTACAAATGAAACACGAGCAAATTTATTTCTAATTATTTTTACAAATTTAGGATTGTGTATACTGGTAATAATTATAATGGGATTAGAAATGTGCTCCAAAATAAATTTTCTGCGAGAATCATGACACCAACATCTTAGAAGGATCATTTAAACTTACCTAACGTCTCCCTCTCAGATTTGTAAACCTGTAAATATTCTCGCCGCTTGCTGAACAAGACATGTTTCAAGCGCTTGAACTGATCAATGTAAAGAGCTTGTAGACGAATTAGTTTATCCCTTAAGATCTGGGCCACTTCTTCTGTTGTGTAAATTCCTGCATATCTAATAAAGAAGAACAAATTAAAAAGTCATTACTTTAAAAGCTAATTGTTTTATGAAGAATCAAACACATCAATAGTGAATCTCCAGATTGTACAACACTCTCCCCCACTAGATATGAAGGCAAAATTATACACCACAAAGTTTTAAAAAAAATTGTTTTCATAGCTCCTAGTGATGCATTCTGTACATCTATCACTGTTCTGACCTATACTTTTCAGCTCAATCAACTTCTCTCACTCTTGCTTTTGAGGTCCCTTCCCCACACATTTCTTGGTTTTACTCTCTTTCCATGGCCCTGTGGATTCTATTAAGGGTTTTTCAGAGCTTAAGATCTGTTCATAAGGACTGTAATAAATGCATTTCCTGCCCTTGTCCCTGAAGGATGCAGTCAACAAACATTAGCCTTCAGTTTTTGTGGTTTGCCCTTACATCTTCTTAAAATCCTCTACTAACACATCCATGGGTAGAAGCCATCTTTCTTTATTTATTATTGTTTATTTTCTCGTCTGGGAGAACTTACTTTCTTTTATTATCAAATTCTTGTTAGCAAAAATAATTAGCAAACAGTGCACCATTTTCAAGACTCTGTTTAGGTCCGCCTATGACCTGTGATGCACCCTCCTTGCCCTGCCTCATTTTCTGTCTCGGGTTGATCCTGTATTTAAATATATCCCAAAACGTGCCAAGTGTACTTGTTTTTATAGCCATTTTAATGTTTTAGCTACTGTTTTTATAGTCATTTTTCACACTGTAGTTACTATTCTAGTGTCTCTGGTTTTTCATTTTTATTTTGCTTTAGCAGTTTAAATAGTTAACATATTTTTAATAATTGTAAAGCGCTTAGAGCTGTAAGGTAAGCGCTATACAAAAATGCCTAAATAATAATAATCATAAAGAGTCTTGTGGATGACAGAGCTATTTCGGTTGTGAATGATTTTCTTGCATTAGATATTTTGCACATGAAAGGCTTGCAACAACTAAAGTAAAGCCTACTAAAAGTCACCCCTTACAATGGGTGAGCAGGGCGCCAGTGGGATAATTCTGCTGCTGATCAAGTTCAGATTATATACTCAATCAGTAACCATATATTATATTTGCGTTCTAAAATAGCAAATTGTTTTTTTTAAAAGCTTACTTTAACATATCTTCTTGATCACTATCAATACTCTCTGCATCACTATCACCATCATCTCGCCAAGCCTTCTCAACAAGTGGTGCTTCTATTTCTGAATCACTAGAACTGGCATATTCTGTAAATCAAACACATGGATTTTTATTACAGTTAAGTAATTAATATTTATACATTACAAATTGCAGCACATGAATGTATCAAGCAACTGTTCATTTTACAAAATTATAAAATGAGTATCTTATAATATAATTCACAAGGGGATCTTGTCCGCTTCGAGTGTGCTATCATTATACACCTCTTCCTTTTATTTTAATGCGCAGCGTGGTTGCATTGCACCAGCTAATTTATTATATAAATATTTGAGGATTTAATGTAAGGTTGAAAGTATTCTAGAATAATAAGCTTACTAGACTTCCTAATTTTTTTGACTCGCAGAGCCCTTTTTAGGATCAATTTCTATGGTGTTTAGGAGTTTCCTGGAGTGGCCATAGAGCCCCTGAGAAGTACACATAGAGCCCCAAGAGTTTAGAACCATAGCAATAGACTAAAATTATGTTAGAGGGCTATTTCTATATGATTTATTTTGAGTAGCTTACAAAAAAAAATATAAAAAATTGACTACGTCTTGGAGGTGACAATCCTAAATGGATGAGGTTTTGACAATATGTCCAATGGTTAAGCCCCTACCAAGTGCCTTGCTAGCAATACTGTCACT